ATACGTAGGAGCTACCTAGAGCTAGTTTCAACAAGTGTGCACCACACCTAACTCACTAGACTCATCTAGGTCAAGCTACCCGTCCATACCCCCCTTAATAGTACGGCCAAAGAAAAAACAAAGTCCTAAACTACTCTAAGTGTCACTCCAACTCCAATCGACACTTAGAACTAGTCATCCTTAACCTTGTCGTCCATCCTTTGAAAACCGAAATGATTTCCATCATAGGGGCATGACCACCTCGATTGCCCAATCGATCACCATTACCATGACCTAACTTAATTGCCTCTGCAAAACACACGTTAGTCATAGTAATCTTGTATTGTCATTAATCACCGAAACCCAACTAGGGACCTAGATGCTTTCAGATATAAAGTTAGATCACTTGAGTGGCACTAGATGACCGATATGCAAACAAGTTTGCTCATCTTAATAATACGGCTATCTATCCTAAACCCGGTCATAAACTTCTCTACTCTCCTATGATCGTTGAAATAAAATGCCCTATAGGTTATGCATTTGCCTTGCGCATTCCATTCCATCTCCTCCAATGTTGATGTAACACATGCACCAACCATATCACAAATAATATGATCCACTTTATATCATCATGTGACCTTGTTGGTTCATCGATCTTGACCTCACTTGCTTTTCACCGTTGCCTTCATCCATCGACGCCAAGTCTTGCTCAAGCTTCATCACCAAGCGGTCCATCGCTACAAAGCCTACAACTTGCCCTTCACGCTTGCAACCGGTCCATCAAGCCAAGTCTTGTCTTGATCTTCTCCACCTTAGTCACATGACTCAATGTCATGTCTTATATGCAATGAGCTTCTTCATCACATGTGTGAGCCTTGCAACAAATCCAAACCATTTGACCTCCATGACATAGGTTGCTCACACATGATGTACTTATGGACTAATCACCTATGTATCTCACTCAAACACATATTAGTCCACCTAAGATTGTCATTCAATTACCAAAACCAAACAAGAAGTTGATTTTATTTTTTTAAAACAAGCAGCGCATGTGATAGTGAGTGGAGCGAGACATCCAGTCTTCCGGACGTCTTAATGATAGCATTACCGTGTACTGATCTATCATGCCCTTTGCTTGTCTACAAAGATTCATCTCTGATCTAACAGGCAAGGATTTTGTCCTTGTCAACACAATTTTCCTACGCTTGTCTACTAATTTTGCATGTACATGCAAAGAGCAAATTTGTTTAATTTCAAGCAAAGAAAAGGCTTTTATTGCCGGCCACCCATGCCACAGCAAAGAAAAGGCTGCTGTATTCATTAAAGCAGCTGTTTGGTGGTCTGGTGGTGCATTAAGTTTAGGCCCGCCATAACTTTTTTTAACTGGCTTGGAGCCATGAGGACAGTCCCAATGATATATTAACGATGGTTTCTATCCTCATTAAATGACTTGTCATGTAGGCAAAATGCTGACATGGCAACGTAATTAATGAAGAAAGAAAACAAAAATCCTAGAAATGGTTTCCTCATGAAGAAATCAGGTAACAAAAATCCAAGAAATGGTTTCCTCACGAAGAAATCAGGTCTTCTCTTGACCCAATGCACCAAGAAACCATGAAATCACCATTGGGGAGAAACCACCAGTTTCTAGGGGGCTCGTGCCGCACTTCCATTGGAGGAAGAAGATAGAGTTGGGAGAGAGAAAGAGAAAATAATTATTACTCATAGAAACCATGGGTTGGAAAATAGTACTTTTTTTGCGGTATCCTATGTTATAGAAACTACTAGTTTCTTTCATTGGGACTGCCCTAAATCTCGCCACAACTGTGGCGGCCTATTTCAATGCCTCACGTCATGCGCCGTCCTAGCATAGAGTGACTACTGCGGCCGGAAACCAGATATTAAGGCATGTTTGGTTGGAAGCCTGGATGACTTGCCTGGAGAAAAGTGTTGCCTGAGAGTTGCCTGGAATTCTGAGAGAATCTGCCTGGCCAGGCAAGTTGAGAGTTATTCGTTTGGTTAGATGCCTGGCCTGAGAAAGCTAATGAATAGAGATCATGTGTTTTCTTCTCTGCTGGAGAGGTAATTAATTCATTTTCTTAATTAATAATACCTCAAATATACACAAATAAACATACGGTGACAAAATAAAAATAGATAAGTGAGTTTTCTTAATTTATAGTATGCTTAAATTAATGTGTTTTTTATTTATCTCTGTATAGTTAACATGTATTTTTATAATCTGATTAACCAAAATATATAATTTAGTAAATTGTTGTCACGTGTTTAATATTAGATAATCACGTTTAATAAGATTAAATAGGAAATATATTGATAAATTATGTCTTTTAGTATAATATATGATTTTAATACTTTTGATTAAATAATGTGAGGATAAATAAAAAATAAGTAATCAACATAAGAAATCTTAATCTGGATTTAAAAATAATAATGTGAGGATTATTTTTATTTATTAAAAAATTAATTCAAAATTATTATTTCCGATGGCAGATCTCTGTATTGTTTTATTAGAGAGGACAAAAAGACAAGTATACTTCTATAGTTCCATTCTGTTTATGTAATAAATTTCACGCGGAAGAAGGTGTCCACTTGATTCGTTAAAGCAAAAAGTACTATTTTGTTTCAGTTAGTATTATGTTTAATTGTATAAATATATTACTATATATAAATATAAAGCATGATGATTAAAGTGAATGTGATACCAGGCAACTTCTCTCCGCAGCCAGGCAGCCATTTTCGGTCGCCTGGGCTAGCGCGCTGGCTGCCTGGTCCAGCCTGAAGACCAGGGCTCCAAGCAAACGCTGCACAGGCAACTTCCAGGCTCCCTCCAGGCCAGGCAACAAATATCCAGGCTCTCATCCAAACACCCCCTAATTAACTAAAAAAACATGTTTGCTAAAAATGGCAAGCAATCCATATATATACTAAAACAATGGCAACGATCTCGATGTACATGCGCCAAAACCATGCTTAACTCGAAGACTTTATGTAAATTCATAAGAGGAAAACATATACAAATTCATTAGGCAAGCAAATTTGATTAGCTAATAAAAGTGAGCATCTTCGAGAGCCTTTCTAAAATCTACTATCCAAATCATTATTTGTATAGTCATTTGAGTAAAAATTGTTTTCTATTTCTTTATATACTCTCCAACATCTTTTCTATATATTTTGTGCATAGTCTAGAGAACCATCTACGCTCTTTATCTTTGGCTAGCGAGAAATCTAAAATATATGATATATTTATATTTGGATATCCAATTGATCGAAGAGGCTGTTAGAGGGTGTCTTTTCACCAAAATCTCTATTACTATAAATTAGGAAAGATATAAATAGTCTCTTAAAGATGCTTTGAGTATGGCTGATTAGCTGTATGTGCAACTAATTTGCCTGAGTAAGCACGAATAGAATTGCCTGATTTAATAGGGACGATTTTACTGCATGCTATTAAGGTGAGTTTGCCTGCAATAAAATTGAGCAAACATAGCATACTTGCATGGATGTACCATTGTTGAAAAAAAAAACTGATAGGAAACCAAAAGGCACAGTAGAAAAAAAAACTGATATTGCATTGTCTGAATCGGAAAGTGGTTTATTTTCATGTCTATAGGAGTTTATAAACCGTAAAACTAGCTTCTTAATTTGCACCCCTTGGAAAAAAAAAGTGAGCGTATACTATAAGTACTCTCTAGAATGTATGCACCCCTTGGAATAAAGAAAATATGAAGAAATTCTAGAAGATTCGAATCCTATAGAAAAATTTTCTACGAATCCATTTGAAAAAATGGTGGGCTCTTATAAATTCTTTGAGTTATCCAATTTGGCTTGGGCTCTTATAAATTCTGTGAGTTTTTTATGGCACGGCTTGTTCAATACTTCATCTTTTCCCGATAAAAAAATGCTCCATCTATTCTAAACTGCAAGTTATTCTGTCTTTTCTAGAACTAGAAAAATTTACAATTTAAAACAGAAGAAGAAAAATTTGGAACTTGCTAAAATTCAGACGTCTGAACTTTAGCTTTTTTTTAGGCTATAGTTAGTGGATATATTTTATATTAAAATTACAGCTCTAGTTCGCTACGATTTATCATAATCTTTGAATTTCGGTTGCGAGAATAAAAAACCTATTCAGCCAAACCACAAACTCGACAAAATATGATATATGTTGCACAAAGATAATTAATAATTTATAATTATTTTTATAGTAAGTCAATGACACAAATTTGATATGTTATGATACAAAGACAAATAATAAATTATAAAAGTACTAATCTTTTTCTTTTACTAATTGGTCATACAGCTTGAAAGTATCTTAAAATTTAGGCACTGAAATATAAGAGAAGCGCAGAAATTTTAGATGAAATCATTGAATCACCGCCCAAGACGCCTCACGCGTCGCGTGCGCCCTAGCTAGCCCTCGGCAGTCCGGCTTTTCTCGGCTCGCGCTGAGCACGCCGTCGCCACGGGCACGGCGCACGTCGGCCGCCACACCTCCACGGATCACGCACGCCGTCTGAACCCACGAAATGGCACCGCGGGCGCTGCACGGTAGGTACATCCGCCGGAGAAAGCCCGCAATTCTGTCCGTCTCCATAAAACTTCAGACCGTAAGATTCCACGCGACTGAATATCGATTGGCCACGTTAACTACAAGTAACTGATCGACATGGAATACTGCCTAAGAACTCGGTAAAATTCAGCACATCACCACATATACTGCTGCAAATTGAAGCATTCTTCACTCAGAGTTCGATACAGACGGACAAGAAACACCAGCTACACAAGCACAATCTCCGCCATTTGCAGATCGCGGCAGCAACAACGAACGAACACGAACTTGACCCCAACTAGTGCTCAACTGCTGAAATGTACACGCGGGCGCGCGGAACCCTGGACACCGACGAACACCGACCGTCACAGAGGCAGCCATCTCTTGCGTGTGCTCGCCTGCTCGGCACAGCCGACGGCCGGCAGCACCCGCTCACCCTCCCAGTACTTGGCTACTTGCCAAAGATGGACTTGATCCACCACACCCCGCGGTCCCCGGGGCTCTGCTCGCTCTCCGGCGGCGGGTCAGGGTGCGCCGTCTTGCGGAGCTTCGACACGTCGTACCCTTCCTCCTTGGCACGCTCCACCAGCTCGTTGTACACGGACTCGTCCATGTGAGGCTGCCTGCAAAGGATCTGCGCACGCAAGCAAAACCGCAGATCATGTGAAGGGAAACGCTGAGATTGGTAGGCAGGATTCCGGCGAGGGACGGACGGGCGGCTGCTGAACGGAGGCCAGAGAGGAATGAATCAGCACGCACCCAGAGGTACTTCCTGGACGGCTGCCCGACGAGCGCGTACTGGTAGCCGGCGTCGACGTGGAGCACCCAGTAGTCGCCAGTGACGGGGAAGACGGGGAGGAAGGGCGGCACGTAGAAGCGGACCCTGAGCTTGGCCTCGTCGCTGGCCGGGTTGGCCCGCCAGGCCGTGCCCTCGATGTGGCCGCGGCGGCCGCCGTCGGTCCACGTCTCGTTGAGCACCTTCACGGTGCCGTCCGGGGCGAGCGTGTAGGTGGCGCGCGTGTTGGTGCCCGTCTTGGGCTGGAACGTGGACGGGAAGCACGCGATCTCGTACCACCGCCCCGCGTACCGCTCCAGGTCCAGGTTCCGCACCACCCGCATGGCGGCCATCGCGCGTGCGTCCCTTGCGGCGGCGGTGGGCGGTGGCGTGGGTTTAGCGGGGGGAAGAGGAAGGAGGTGGGTGGGGTGGGGATGCCGGGTGCCGGATGCGAATGCGTGCGGGGGATCGGGGCAGGGTAAGCTAGGCAGGTTGCGGGCGACGTGGAGGATTGTGGGCGATACGTTCTCGGACCGTGTTGTTCGGTGCGCGTCGCGGTTGTGGTTTTCAATTCGGACTATGGAACGGGTTGCTGCCTGGTGCCCAGCCCGACGCAAGTGTCGTGGCTCGTGGCCTTGTGGGCTGCGATGCGATCCGTCGTGCTGGGGTTTCCTTCTTTTCTTGTTTGTGGCGGCCGTGGTCCTCGGGTGCAGCAGCGACCTACTGTAGGAGGAAAGCACTATGCCAGCCTGCCAGGGGCCCAGGGTGAAAGGAAAAGAGTGCTGCCTTATTTGTCACGGGAAAACTTTTTCATCTTTATGTGCCAGCAACGCAAACTTTCGTGCCTTGATCAAGCATGCCGATATGTAACTTTGATTTCTAGATCAAGTAGGTGGAAGATCGATCCAGTAACACGCAGCTTCTTCATGCACTTTGACACTAGCTAGTCAAAATCAATTGGACTTAGGCTATTTTAATAAAATCTTCATTATAAAAAAATTGACTTTTTCTTGCTCAAGGATATAAACTATTACTCCAAAATCACTTTCCCTGTCTCCCTTTTGAACTTTATATATTGATGTAGTTTCTGCTGTTGGCTATAAGATTCTTACTCTACTCAATAGTTTTATCCTAAAAGTATGGCAATTAGGGCATGTTTGCTTCGCGCCCTGCCAGGCACCAGTCATCTATCCTAACCTAGGCATCCAAAATCAGATGCCTGGCAGACAGCTCCGTCGAGGAGCAAAACCAAACATGCCCTTAATCTCATAGAAGTTTAGATATCTGCCAATTTTTGCTGTAAAAAACAAGATCATAACGAGAAGTTCTAAGATTTCTTGATGCTACCCTTAACTATTCACAAGCATCATTCTATGTATCAAGAAATGTGATACGCATATGCATTAACTTTTTCAAATGGACGAATATAATGTTACCATTCATTTGGGAAAAGGAAAGCATATACAACGACGAAGGGTCAAGCCACAGAAGGACATACAAATCCCAATACATATTGTGCATGGAAACCACTAAACACTTAGCTACTTAACACTCTTCCTAACTTCATAGCTAGGTATTCCATCAATACAAATGAGAGAACAAAAGGCAATCAATGCCCAAGGCTGATAACCTGCCATTATATTCAAACCTCATGTTCTTGTTCAATCTCTCTGGAGGTCCGAGAACAAGAATATAGCAGGGCTTGGAACGAGGGAACCTTCTAGAGTTCTAGAGGACTTGATGCACTTGACCCACTAACCTCTGGTCCTTTTATAGACTTATTATACATGCCGAGCTCCCTACTTGGGAGATAGTATGACGTCTCCTCCCACCACTGGATTAGCGTGGGTTTCATCTGTAGTTGGAAGGTCATTGTTCTCTTTTATCGAAGGTAAAGGCGGCGACGGTCCCTCCAGAGGCGGCGAAATCTCATCTGTGCCAATGCCGATTATTCTAGAGACGTCACCTGGATCACTGACAATCTCCGTCTTCCAGTTGAGCTCGGCGAGAACTATGTCATTGTACGGGACGTAGTTCTACATTCACACCATGATGCAGTTAGGAGTTGTTAGTTTTGCACAAAGGCGTCTGAATGTGTTTTAGCCTATTGTAAGTACCTCAAGTTTCTCAATGAGCTCTTGTGCGTTGGGAGCATGGACAACAATTTGGCGGGCGCTGTGGCTGACGAAGCCTTCCTCCATGGTCTGGTCGATGAATGCCAGCAGGGTGTTGTAATAGCCATCAACGTTCAACAAGCCAATCTTGAAGAGTTCTCATCAATTGGATTTACTGAATTAGTGAATTGCTTCGGTGCATTGAAATATATCTTTTACGAAGTATATATCAAGAGACACTGCTGCATGCCTCAATGTACATATATATATATAGCTTGTTGATTATTTACCGGCTTATGATGGATGCCTAACTGTGCCCATGTGATCACTTGAAATAGCTCTTCCAGTGTTCCATATCCACCTGAATCATAACAATTTAGTTGACACAATTAATTGCCAGTTTGTTGCAAAGACACGCACGTTTTACTTATACAGTGAGAACACATTAATATTGGAAAGAGCTACTTATATGACTGGTGATGATTCAATTGCCCTAGCCTAGCATGTGGCAAGTGCACGCATGGAAACACATGAATCTCAACATTGAAAGAGACTCGACGCATAGCACAAGTAGCCCGTGACACTACTCACCTGGCAACGCTATCAAGGCATCACATTGCCTCGCCATCTCCGCTTTCCATTGGTGCATACCCTCGACCGGCTTCACCTTTCCCGCCGTCCTCCAATTATCTGATAATAACAACGCATCGTTAAAATTTTTGGAAGAAGTGGGTTCTAGCGTTTTCAGTATCATCTACTCATGCCCTTTGTCAAGGTGACATACACTACTACAGAATTAGACATTACTGCCGGCCTCATCACTGCCGAATTTTAAGAAACCGATAGTGATAGTCCATCACTACCGGTTTTTGGCTAAAACCGGCACTAATAGGATCAACTGACACTGATATTTAGGTCCTCACTGTCGGTTCATATCACTGTTGGTTTTAGTCAAGAACCGACAATGATTTTGGGTCATAATCACTGCTGGTTTTAGCCAAGAACCGACACTGATACTATCACTGTCGGTTCGTAGCTTGAACCGACAGTGATATGTTGCAAGAAAACTTGATAAGTTTCTCATCTGATGTTCGATTAAGATAAACTTTATATCAAAGTTGTAGTACTCGACGAGATCTACAACTTTGTAGTTTAAACTTTTTAAATTTGAGATCGTTTGAATGTCCAAATATTTTCATTTGCAATCATCTAACAAACCAAAATTACGTTTGATTTTTCAAATTAAAAATTTGAAATTTTCAAACGACCTCGGATGGAGAAACGCTCAAAACAAAAGTTGTAGATCTTGAGAAGTTATGCAACTTTGTAGTTGACAACTTTTTCATTTGAAATCATTTACTAGTTCAAAATATTGTTTGAAATTAAATTTTAAAATTATCGAAGAACTCTGATTTCTCTTTTTAATCTTTGACTAAAACTTGTAATTAGTCTTTCTCCCTCATACCAACTTCAATTTTGATGATTTTTTTTCTTAAAAAATTCTAAAATCATGCTCTATCAATTTATTGTGTTCTTAGCTATTATTTTATCCATATTTTCATGTGACAGTGTTTTATCTATTTGAATTTTGAATTTTAAAAAATGACAACTTCAAACGTCATTCTGGAACACTAAATGATTTCAGGTGAAAAAGTCATAAACGTAAAAGTTGTAGAATTTATCAAGATCTACAACTTTTATTTTAGTCATTTTTTTATCCGATAAAGTGGTAGTGATATTGTTCACAAAATTTACATATCTCTTATAGTTTCATAAACTATAAGAGGGATATTTTACATTTGTGAATAATGTTACTACCACTATATTAGATAAATAAATGATCAAATGACCAAAATAAAAGTTGTAGATCTCAAAAAGTTATGAAACTCTGTAGTTGATGACTTTTTTATTTGAAATTGTCTTCTCAAGGAAAACTACGTTTGAATTTATAAAATTTAAAATTCAAATTTTGTAAACGACCTCCGATGGAGAAACTACCAAAATAAAAGTTGTAGATCCCAAAAAGTCATAAAACTTTGTAGTTGACAACTTTTTGATTTGAAATCATCTTATCAAGAAAAACTACGTTTGAATTTCTAAAATTTAAAATTTAAAATTTTTAAATGACCTCAGATGGATAAACGGCAAAAACGAAAGTTGTAGATCTCAAAAAGTTATGAAATTTTGTAGTTAATAACTTTTTGATTTGAAATCATCTTGTTATGGAAAACTACGTTTGAAGTTCTAAAATTTGAAATTCAAATTTTGTAAATCCACCTCGGATGGAGAAACTACCAAAATAAAAGTTCTAGATCTCTAAAAGTTATAAAACTTTATAGTTGACAACTTTTTTATTTGAATTCGTTTAGGGTCCCAAATACTTATTTTAAAATCAGATAAACATAAAATGGCTAACACAAAAATCTTATTTGGACACGAACAACTTGCAGGTGGAGTGGTTAGGGTTGAAGACATGAAGCAGGAGGTCAAGGGATCGAGCGCCGGTGGCCGTGAACTTGTGACTTGCGATACCCGACCGTGTGGCTGTCTAACGGGGCCTCTCCCAAAATTAAAAAAAAATCCTTATTTTTTGGCCTGTTTTTTTATTTTCTAAAACCACATTAGTGTCGGTTCATAAGAACCGACAGTGATGTCAACCCACATCACTGCCGGTATGCCACTGCCGGTTCAAAATCCGGCAGTGAAGGGGGATTTTAAACCGGCAGTGATGTCGAAAACTGAGGTAGTGATAATGGTTTATTATTTCGCTCTAGAAAATTAGTATTGCATCTCACATTTAACTATCAAATACCACTCTATATATGTCCCAAAATATAAGGCGCACACCCATTTTTATATTCAAGATAGCAATCTTAGACCAGTAATTAGCCTTAAAAACCTCGACCAGAGGGAGGGACTTACACCCCCACCATTTTTGTAGTAGATAAAAGGATGAGATTTGAACCCTAGTATAGGCTGAGTGACGTACACGCCCACTACTCAATTTATATAATGATCATTATAAATTGTTATAAAAGGGAGATCACTTGATTGGCACTACTACCAAAAACACTTTTAGAGGCAGGTTGTGGAATTTGAACCCATGACTCTCACACTCACTTCTCAGTAAATATAGGATACTATCATTTTGTATTAACATATAGCAATATTGAATTGAATAGTTTGGCTGCTAAATAATCTCAAATGAGAAATGCTTTAATTATAAAGTTTTAGATCTTGGTTGAGCACAACATACAATTTGGGTATAGGGCATGTCTTTGATCCGAGGTTGTTTGAAAATTTCAAAAATTAAAATCTCAAAATTTGATAACTTCAAATGTATTTGAGCTCTAAAAGATCAAATCAAAAACTTGTAACTACAAATTTGTTGATCATATAGACCACTACAACTTTAGTATTGATCATGTCAATATCTGAGGTGGTTTTAAAATTCTAAATTTTAAATTCTTAGAACTTAAAACACATAATTGGGACTCTAAACAACTCCAAATAAATAAAAAAATGACAACTACAAAATTATAGATCACAATGAGAACTTTGGTCTAGACCATATCAACATTTGAGGTCGTTATAAAATTCTAAAATTTGAATTTTAAAATATGAGAACTTGAGACTAAAATTTTGGCACTCTAAATAACTTCAAATAAAGAACTTGTTAACTACAAAGATGATGTCATTGAGCTATATAATTACAAAGTTTGTCTTCATCTAAATTAATATGCAATACTTATGAATTTTTTATAATTATTTATAGAGACGGGCATCTTAAGAAGCCCGTATCTGTTAAGAGATGGTACACTTAAGAGGCCAAACTATGTTAATGGTCATTTTCAAAGGCAGACTTCGTAAGCTGCCCACATCTAAAAGTCCATTTGCAGAGGTGCTTGTCTTTGGACTGGCTACATAAACGGACCGACCGTCTCTAAAAATCATTAGGTATTTTAGGAGACACTGACAGTTTTTGACAGTCTATGTTAATAAAACAATATGTCTTCTAATATTGTTTTTGTAGACATTCAAAAATATCAGCCTACCATTGCGTTGCTACAAACATTATATATAGTATATAAGAGGAACTAATTTAAAAAGTTTAAGACTATTTTTTTAGACCACACCAAGTCAAACCGGATATTATATTTTAGAATGAAAAGATGGGGAGTGAAACTAATTAACTGGTAGGCTGCAGGAGACGATACGATCAAGACATAAGGCAGAACATTAGATTTGTCTGCCCTATAGTGCGGTCTCCCTAGTCACATGTAAATATTTGACAATTTAGTTGGTTAAAAAGCTAATATATTATTGAAGTGCATTTGAAGATAAAGTTCCCAATTTGTATATCTGAAGGAAGGAAATATTGATAGTCAAAAGGCATGCCCAAAACTTCTTATATATATATGTGACTGGAGAGCACTGTACTGCATACAACCTCGGGAGCGAGAGCTGTCCGAACGACCCTGCAATACACACAAGAAGATGATTGTAAATAAAAGATGCTCAATGGTTTTAGAGACATTAGAATCAACTGAGATGAAGGTTAACTTCACTGGTTCCTATATAGTATACCCGAGGACGTGCCCGCGAGACGAGCCCCATGAGGCCCAAGCTTCCGCCGCCATACACCAGCGGTCTGTCCGTTTGACTGGGCTTGTTCGTTCCTGGATCGTGAAAGAAGTACTGCTGGCTGGTTTGATGTGAGAGAAAAATATTGTTCCAGCTAAAAATTTACGATCATTTACGACCGTATAATCCCAGCCGAACAGGCTATAGATCAATGCCCCTGGACACATGTTGCATGCAAGCACCGTTGGCGGATCTTCAATTGTGGGGTATATATCTAATTGATGTAATTCTCTAATAATATCTAATATAATGACCAGGAAGACGATAAAATGGTTAATGTACAGATCTAATGGTACAGTTTGCCAATATTCATCCGTGAGTACATAAAAGTAGTCGTTGCCAAGGTCTTAGTTTCTTGGCTTCTTTGATGTTCTTAATGAATCGATTCAGAGTAGATGAAAAAATTCTTTTGTACTTTATTGAGCAGTCCATAAAAAGGCAAGAGTATTATTCTTCTTAATGTCATGACGTTGTACACATGTGAAATTTAAATAACCGCTTGTTGTTCTGCTCTCACTGCAGCCTGCAGCCAGCTAACGTGGTGCCAGCACGTACAGCTGCATCTTTTCAGAGCTGAATCCAATTTTACTACTAACAGTAGCTTGCTGGTGACTTAATACGGAAGTAGATAAGCCGTCGTTCTTGCTTTCCAAAAAATCAAACGTACTCAATCATGATCAAATATATATATAAAATATTAATACTATGATACATAATTAGTACCATTAGATATATTGTTGAATTTATAATAAATTTTTTTTGTGTAGATATAAATATTGCTAATATTTTTCTACAAAACTAGTTAAACTTAAGAAAAGTTTGATTACCATAAAAACCCATAGCAACATTTAAAAAGGATAGACAGAGAGGACGTACAGTCTATTGCACTGCACGCAGACACAGGGTGTGTATAGGAGTAGTAGCAGGTAGCTACTTGAAAGCGGTGGCACAAAAACATGATCTCAGATGAATTGCAGGTAGCAGCAGCAATAGCGAGCGAGCAGA